TTTTTGTTGACCTTTGTCCATGGAAGGTCCCTGCAAAATTTCATTGAAATTGGTTCAGGGGTTTTGGAGAAGAAGTCGAAAATGTAAATTGTTTACGGACGCACGACGGACGACGGACGACGGACGACGGAGGACAAAAGGCGATCGCAATAGGTCACTTGAGACTTTGTCTCAGGTGACCTAAAAAATTGAAGTCTCTTTGATGTACATCAAAAGAATCAGTCAATCTCATAAGGGTAGTAAACTGTCTTTGAAGTCAGGTCATTCATTTGAAAAAACTTGGTAGCCCTTCATCCCAGCATGCTACACGCCCAATATCAGTACCCTGGGCCTTTTGGTTATTGAGAAGAAGTCATTTGAAGATTTTACAACATTTTACCCCTGTGACTTTGAAAGTGGGTCAAGGTCATTCATTTAAACATACTAAATTTCAGTACCCTGGGTATTTTGGTTATTGAGAAGAAGTTGTTTAAAGTAAAATATTGATGCCGGACGCCGGACAGACGATGGGCGGCCGGATGCCGCACCATGGCATAAGCGAAGGGCCAGGTGAGCTAAAAAGCTAGCCGTGTGCCTTCAATTTTGCTATGACATATTCCAGGGGTGCAGAGAGTGAATGTGAGCGAAACCCCTAGAGTTTTGAGGATTCTCTTTCCACAAAACCTGAAAAGGAATTTATGATCATGTGTATATGGTTAATAAATAATCAAGAGCTAAATATGTATACTCACTCAACCCTGGCTCTGTGGAAGTAGAGCAAGTGGTCTTTATTATTGTTATCTTCAGGAACCACTTTTATACACTCTACAAATGTCGGATGTATCAGATCATCGGTGTTAGGACTCGTTGAAATGGCTCGATCCCGGTTATTTGGACACTTGTTAAGATTGGCAAATGTTGTATCTGAAATAAAACATTACAAATAATAATAGACAACATATATATGATCTATTATTTTATCAGTTATAAACTTAATCTGACAAAAATATTTTTTCCCAAAAATTTTAGCCTTTTTAATAAAAAATATATAAGACTAAGTTTAGCTTTGAATATCAAAGCTTTTAAATTAGCAAAAATATTAACTGTGAGTCTTATTTGAAAAAATTGCATTCTTTTACATTAATGAGCACTTTCCACATCAACCTTTACTAACAATTGATCGATTGAAAAGTGCTAAAATTAGAGTACCGCTAAATTATGTATGCTGACCCCCCACCCCCACAACACACAACACACACCACCACACACCTAAGTATATATACAACTGTACTGACCCACCATACAATTTAGTATATAAACAACTGTACTGACAGACCTAGGGGTATACCTACCTTTAATCACTGTGTGTCCGCCAATAGAGTTGTAAGACATGGTATTAAGTAACGGCATCACCGGCCCTTCATTATGCGAGCTCGAGAACGATCCGGTGGCAACACCAGTATATCCAGTACCTTCTATCCGGAACGATTTACCGACCTGTCTACTTAATATGTAGCTGTTGTCCGTCTCATCAATCACATCATTTTTACAGTCGAAATTCTGTGACCTCAACACCACCAAACTGTTGTTGACCATAAGATACTTATTGACAAGTTCGTGTGACAAGGCACTGGGGGAGTGGACCAATCCCCAGATTCCCACTCCATTGTCCAGCAGGGTTACACCATCAAACTCTACACTGGCAGCGCTGCAAATGAACAGTGTAACAATATTTTACCATATTTATTATAAATTATCTCCCCCTACTTCAATTCTTTATTTTACGAGGATTATGATTACAATCAACAGGTAATTGTTATTATCAGCTTTGAAATTCTTGAGAAAAAGTTTTAAATATTTTTCCAACACATATGACTACTGTAAACTTGAATTGGGTTCTCAAATCAACATTGAATACAAAAGCATGTCTTTTGAGGTTTTCAGCACAATTAAACAATGTAACCTTCAATGTGAGTCAAGGTCATTCCTTTTAAACAATAGAATAACCCTTGTACCACAGAGAGCTACAGGCCAGACATTATGACCTTGAGTTCTCAGAAAGATGTTGTTTAATGTTTTAACAATTACATATGACAACCTTGACCTTTTCAGGTAGTCAAGGTCACTCATTTGAACAAATTTAAGTCAATGACAACATGATGCTATAGCTACAGGACTATTGTCAAAAGTTGAAAATGCTCATATAAATATTATATTTTTATTTTTCAAAAAGATTTTTCAAATATGATTTGAAAATAGTTAATTTTCAGAACCTTCCCTGAACCCCTCAGGGAGCAACACCCAAATCTTAAAGGAATTTGCCATTCAAAATTAAGTTAAAAATCCATACAATCATTCTGGACTAGTCAACTGTTAAAAGATAAGATGACAATGGAAGGATGATGGACAGATGGACAAAGCACATGGCCAGCAGCATAAGCCCAGCATGTGGCTCAGGAGACTTATTATTTCAACTTACGTTAATGTTGACTTACATTATTTCCCCTTTATATAGAAAATTAAGAAATAAAAAGAAATATTTAGGTTTAGAGTTACTTCCCTTGTGGCCCATAGCATAACCTTACTTTATGACACAGGAGACTTAGGTAAAACAGCAACAACCTATGCCAGCACCAGTTATAATCCGGAAGATTTCCGCTTAAAGCTTTTCTTTTAACTAACATTCTTTTTTTCTGTTTATATAGAAAATAAAGAAATCAAAAGGAAAGATTTTGGCTCAGAGTTACTTCCCGTGTGGCCCATAGCCCATAGCCTAAACCCAGTTTGTGACTCAGGAGACTGAAGGTAAACAGTAACAACCTGGGCACGGCACCAGTTATAACCTTTCTTTACTTACATTATTTTTTCTTAAAATAAAGAAATAAAAAGATTTGTTTGCATAGAGTTACTTCCCTTGTGGCCCATATAGCAAAAGCCAATTATATGATCAGGAGACTAATGGTAACGCCCTTTACTACTGCAACAGTTATTATCAGGAAGAGTTCTACTTGGAGCTTTTTCTTTACTTACATTATACATTTTCTCTTTATATAAAAAACAAAGAAATATAAAGGAAATCTTTTATTAAGAGTTACTTCCCTTGTCATGTACTGATCTTACCCGACGTAGAACATTCCATAGTCCCAGTTTTTGTAGGCAGTGATGCCGGTGTACCTAACACATTCCACGCCTACTGGTTGTCCCTCATTGGTAGGGAAGAGAGCCATGCCAATCAAACACGTATGTACAACATTGTCTCTCCATGGCACGACATCACTGTCACATGGATGTGGAAACACGTTTAAACACGTTCTCTCCGAGGAGGAGACATGGTTACCAACCATGACGAGGTCTTTCTCTGTGTAGCTTTCGACTGATCCCGTGTAGCCTGTGAGTTTTGTGTCGTGGCGGTCTCCGTAAGTCCCTCGCCACAGCATCAAACACAACAGGTTATAATACAGCATCGTATTGGCTGATTGTGTTTGTATCGCTATAAGAAATGTAACAAAAAAATTAGTAAGACATTGGATTACAACTAGAACACTGACAAGTCAGCAACAGCCCTGCCATGTGCCTGACAATACCTCCCCCATGGTCTATTTTTATTTAAAGTAATCTTGACCTTTAGAACTTTTAAAACCCTATTGCACATCTACCTATCACAGTGCATCATCATTCACGGTCTATTATTAGTAACAGTTACCTTGACCTTAGACACTTTGAAACCATTATTGCAGATATCACAGTATATCACCATGTCAAATTTCAAAATGATTCGACTTTTTGCACTCAGAGATAAGGACTGTAGCCCCATCCCCACCGAAAATAAACAAAACACAAATTTGGTCTTTGTTAAGTAACAGTGATCTTAAGACCTTGATCTTAGATTTTTTTCAAACCCCTGGCCTATTGTACATCAACATTTCACAGTGAATCACCATGTCCAATTTGAGAAAGATTAGTCTTTCGGATTCCGAGATATCTCTGTACAGCTAGACAGACGGACAGACAGACAGACAGACAGACAGACAACATGATAACTATAGGGCACCTTCATCTCCCAGGTGGGGCCCTTCTGAACAAGACTACAATGAAGTTATTTTTAGGTAATGCAGGTTATACCATCTCATATAGTATCTTTCACCCCTATATAACTTAAGTAAACTCTACCATGCATTGATCTGGATGAGTCCATTATGGTCCACAGTGTTAAAAGGGTTAGCATACAGTAAGAAGAGTACAGTATTTATTGCCTTACATGTTCCCACAGTGTGGTAGATGATGTTGTATTCAATCAGAAGATCTGGAGCTCCAAAGACACCCACAGCTGTGCTGAATCCGTCATGGAAGACACAGTTTTTGACAGAGCTGGGGAAAGCAGGCACACCGGCCGGCCCAGTGTCTTTATAAGTGAGAGAAAACCGAGGATCATGTGACCCAGTCCAGCCTTCTTGACCCGTGTGGTAAAACTCTGTATTCTGAAGACGGGCGTACCCTAGGAGAATGATTGTGATATTACAGAATACATGTATATACATACATACAACCAATCAGCTAATTACAGAATATGTATTATTGCTTTGTGGAGATGTGTGGTTTACGATGCTACCTATCATCACTCTGCATGTAGGTACTCTCTCAATGAGCCTATAGGTACTAATGCCCCATATATAGGCCTTTAACTTATTCAACCCTGAAGAACTTTGAACTCTTCCAGTTCAAAGGATGGAATAGGTCAATATGAAATTTCAGGGGTGAATGATTTAAGATTGTACTCATAATCAGAGTTAAGGTAATCTCTAGAAGAATACAATCACCAATCAAAAAGTACAAATCAATTGATCAATTCTGTTGGAGACCATTTTAATCAATAAACCTTGTATAAATTTTGACTTAGCATGTATTAAAAAGCTGCATTCAAACCAATATTAAGTCATCACTTAAGCGTAGGGTTGAAATGTCTCTTCACATGGTTAATATAGATCTGTGCTAATTTACAACAAACTACTTGGAGGAGAAGATGGTTGTCTCTAAATAGATAGTTAACTGAATAGGGGTCAGGTTTCTTGAGCAGATTTGTCTTTATTTGCTGAAGCAAGTATGGCAGTCCATCAACTTGTACCAAACCAATTTCTAGATAAGTGTGTATAAACAAGTGTCATGCAGTCAGACAAACCTTGCCAGACATCCCCAGTGCCCATGTCCTCCCAGGTGGCTACGAGGACTCTCGCTCCGAATGACTCCTTCATTAAACCGTCATCGTCCTCCCCGATAATTTTTATGTTCCGAGTCAGATCGCCTATTTCTGCTGCGATGGAGTAGGAGGTTCCGTTAAAGTTCTCTGCTCCAACTACAAGCAGAAAGTGACAAAACTCACAGAATAAAGTAGAATTAATAGCAATCCATTTCCTTCCCTTTTGTTATTCAAGCTTGTGTAAGTGAGACAACTCAGGAATGTAATCACAAGAGTATGTCAAGGCTAGACCAATAAACACCTGTCCGCAAGATCATGAAACAATCTTAGATCTAAAACTGGCTTAACTTATGAATTAGCCAATCACAATTAATGTCATCAAAAGTGACATTGTAAATTATTGGCAAAGCAAAAACTTATGTCTAAGATTATTTCATGATCCTTAGGGTCTGTTCAATGCTAAAGGGATATGCTTAGAATCTTTCTGACGCATTTTGTATCAAAATATATGAAATTAATGAAATGTAACATGACAATATTTTCTCTCATTTCCCTGTGTGTAAGATAGAGCTGTCCAGGGTAAGAAAGGGGTGTAGGAAATTTCTATATTACACCCCGTTTCATGTGATGTGACGTCACAATGGTTCAACAATGATGTGACGTCACAAATTTGGAACTCTCCGATGCTGCAATGCGGTAAAGGCGATGTGATGAAATTAAAACCTTTTACCATATATTTACTGTACACGTTAGAAAGATGTGATTAATTTTCTGCGCAAATATTGTTTTCAATTATTGGATATGCTTATTCTGGCTGGCTGATTCATTTTTGTCTAAAAAAGCTCAGGGAAAATAAATTAATATTTTCAAAATGGTAACCAGTCCAAACGCATTTTGGACTGGTCACCATTTTGACCATTTTGACCATCCCTCGGGTTTTACCAAATTTGAAAACACTTCGGGTGGAACCCTACACCCCTGGGCATGAAAGAGTCTTATAATATTCACTTTATAATCTGAAAGTAGATTTCAAGCCCATGGCCGGTACTAGGCCCACCCCCCTTTCTTCAAGTTTGTCGGTGTCAGTAAAAAGATTGCTTTTGTATTTGTTATACCCTGGGCAATATATGTGCAAAAGAATTGCTACATGCATTGGTATGTTAAGTTGACTGAGTAAAAGGGACAAATATCATGAGCCTAGTCCTCATGGTTTTGTAGAAGAAGTCAATTAGGAAAAAGTGATGAATGATAGACAAACAACAGAGCCAATGCCATTGTATACTAGTAACTCACACTGCCCAAATATTGAATGTTGTTTAACAGCAAGATCATTTCTAAATTCCATTGTGACAAAACTTGTGTTCCCTTACACTCAGTCTATAAATGAAACATGTGTTGTTTACCCGTGTGACTGTAGGTCAGTCCTGCGTCCAGCTCGAGGACCGTTGTTGCTCCTTCATTGTTGATAAATCTAATTCGTCGTTTCTCCGCCTCCTTGGAGTTGTACCCTGTGGCTGTGAGAAGGACTTCATCATTTACCTTCCAGTCGGTAACCTTGACCGCCAAAGTCACAGTTGTTTCACCAACAGCTGCTGACCTGCCTAGTGTAGTCCAGGGAACTTTAGGTCCAGTACCATTCAGCGTCAGCCCTCCAAACGAGGCTATGAACAGGAAGTAAAAGTGACTAAACAACAGAGAAAAGTTACCAGTGGCAAACATACAGGACAGCTTTCTTGGTCTTGTATATGAGATGATTTGCATTTAGTAAACTATATTCCATACATGCACAAATATTTTGGTTAAAGCCATGACCTTGAACATCCTTAAATGACCTCAGTTTTTGATAAGATGTTAAACCCTTAACAACCAACCAACTATGACCTTGAATTCGCTATCAATGCGGTTCAAGAACGAGGATGAAACAATTAAAATAACAGTGAATGTTTCACTTAATACAGTGTGTTTACATTAGTTTGAAAACATTTTTTAAAAGTTATATTGATAAAAAACTTGGAATTGGTAAAACCTTATTCTCCTTGTACATCTTAAGGGTCTCCATGTAAATTTGTCCTTTGTTCATATTTTACCCGACTTTTATCAATTTGGATTTTGAGTTATGGTTTTGACAAGACATTATATTTACATTTGAGCTGCAACCCACTACGTTTTCTGTATATGAATATTACCAGCAGAAATGCATTTCATTTTAGGTTGAAAGTCCTGTGATGCAATACATGGTTTACTTAAGACGTCATAGATTAACCTTGTCCAATGAGTGTCTTAACACTTTGCTTCGGATGACATGGAGAATGCCCCTGCGTCAAACGCTCAAATGACTATGGTTAATTATTGGCGCAAATTTTATTTAAATATGGCTGTTCCGCCAATATCGTTTAAAGGAGCATATATGAAACACAGTAAATAAATAAATTATTTAAGAATGAATAAATAAAATTAAACAATTGTTCTATAGTAAATATGATAACATGTGGATTGAACGGCGTGTTTTTTTAATTTTCATGCGATATGAACGCAAATCGTTACATTTATATTGAACACAGCCCGCGTTCAATCCCTATATAAACAATTTAGTGCTACAAATATGGATTTCTTCTCAAAGTGATGAACTAAAAATACTTACTTTGATATTAAAACTGATTACTCTACAATAATACAAACCTAAAACTTTGGCACCAATGGGGACATCAGCACCACTTCCACTGCGGTCAGTAAAAACTGGTGTTCTGCGATTGCCTAGCAACATGAGGGTTGCCTTGCCAACAAAAGGATCATCACACCCAATGATAAGCTGGCCGCCAATGACGATAATATACGTTGCTTTGATAATAATGTTCACGTCTGCTTCGTTTCGTGCTTTTAATGTTCCTCTGATAATCAGCTTGTTCAATCGTGCTGTAGATGTTGTTCCCATGGTAACCCAAATACCTGAAACACAAGACATTTAAACTGTGACGTAAAACTGTTTGAGGATTGGTGATTCAAAAGAGACTATAGGTTTTACTTAGTTTGAAGGAAACTGGAATTTCTAGATAATTAAAACTTGATATGAAGTAAAATAAGGAAAAGTACAAAGGGCAATAATCTCCCTCTCTAGGCAATAATCCCCCTTTCTAGGCAATAATCTCCCTCTCTAGGCAATAATCTTCCTCTCTAGGCAATAATCTTCCTCTCTAGGCAAAAATTGGCAAAATAAATTCTTGTCAATCTATGGGCCACAAGTCTGTATATTAAGGGACACCAGTCCCAATCTCAGAATATCACACTCCACCATCTAAAGCCTCTCAGTATATGAAGGGACACCAGTCCCAGTCACAGAATATCACACTCCACCATCTAAAGCCTCTCAGTATATGAAGGGACACCAGTCCCAATCTCAGAATATCTCACTCCACCATCTAAAGCCTCTCAGTATATGGAGGGATACCAGTCCCAATCTCAGAATATCACACTCTACCATCTAAAGCCTCTCAGTATATGTAGGGACACCAGTCCTAATCTCAGAATATCACACTCTACCATCTAAGGCCTCTCAGTATATGAAGGGACACGAGTCCCAATCTCAGAATATCACACTCTACCATCTAAAGCCTCTCAGTATATGAAGGGATACCAGTCCAAATCTCAGAATATCACACTCCACCATCTAAAGGCTCTCATCAAGTAAATTAAGTAAATGTAGGTTACACAATATATGAGATATGCCATATACAAAATGAACAACAGTGAACAAAGGACCACAACTTTGTACATAGTCGAGGACTGGACCTGACATCTGTACATGACATTACGCCATCCCAAGAGATACCCACTAATTAAGTGACATTCTGATTACCCACTAATTAAGTGACATTCTGATTAAGAAACTGACTGATGAATGGAATGTATATCAGTCCTATAGTTTTCTCTGGTAGTTCATGTAGGGGTGATATAAGAACAAGATTGACCCTAAGGGTACACATACCAGCTTTGATCTCCACATCAGCCCCCTCGTCACACTTCTTTGCTGTTGGCAGCTCACTACAGAACTGTTCCCAGGTTTTCAGTACATGGGTACTGTCCGGATCACAGCTGGGGGGCATAGTCTTTTTGTCTGGTGTGACACAGCCGTCGTATTCACACTTGAATGTATTCAACACAATAGGATGATCGCGAGAGTTTACTGTTGGGGACGTTTCCACAGACTCGTCACTCTGAGATGATACTAAATAATCGATAAAATATAAGTATTTATAAATGTGATTCATAAACATCATTCATAGATATCATGATAAATCTACAGTATCCTATGGAGGGTAATTGATATAATTAGTTCATATATGGATCTGCAGACAATATCAGCTATCATAAACATGACACATTAATTAACAAATTTTCAAACTTATTTCATGCTTGTGTGGGCAATTTGAAATAGTTTCTTTCTGAAATGTTCAAGGACGCCATTCGATACAAAAAAGTGAAAGAAAAAATTAATCACATTTTTTTATCGAGAGCATAAAAACTATCCATATATTACAGAACCTAATGGTGTATATATCTATACCTAGGTACCTATATAATGGTGTATATATCTATACCCAGGTACCTATATAATGGTGTACATATCTACACCTAGGTACCTATAAAATGGCGTCTATATCTATACCTAGGTACCTATATGATGGTGTATATATCTATACCTAGGTAGCTATATAATGGGGTATATATCTATACCTAGGTACCTATACAATGGTGTATATATCTACACCTAGGTTCCTATATAATGGTGTATATATATATACCTAGGTACCTATATAATGTTGTATATATCTATACCTAGGTGCCTATATAATGGTGTATATATCTATTCCTAGGTTCCTATATTATGGTGTATATATCTATACCTACGTACCTATATAATGGTGTATATCTATATCTACACCTAGGTACCTATATAATGATGTATATATCTACACCTAGGTACCTATATAATATTTTCAAACTTATTTCATGCTTGTGTGGGTAATTTGAAATATTTTTTTTTTTTT